GCTACTGGGACATCATGTTTAGAAAGTAAATGTCTCAGTTTCTCCGAAACACCCGCAACATACGGAAAAAACATACGGACATACGGAAACCTATTGCCATGTGATGTGAGTATCAGTCACATGGAGGCAGGGCTTAAAAGCCTGAATTTTGCCTGAAACTCTCAGACTGAAGAAGTCTCTTGGAGAAGAGACGAAACGTTTCATTAGAGAAGAACCCGTCCAGAAGACCTATACAATTTTTTTTAATCTTTTTTTACTATTCTAATACTTTTTACACTGCAGAGTTCAAAACAAGAAAATACTCAGTTTTTACTGATTTTACAGTAAAGTATATTTAACTGATAGAGGCTTTAAMGCTAAATTTGGACCTTAATTTACATCTAAGTGATAACCAGAGTACAAAATGAGTGTGATAATGAAACACTTTGTTCTTTGAGTCATTATTGTTGAACATTATTGCTCCTGTCACTCACATCACTTATTAACTCTCCAGCCTTCTTAGCAGACTCCAGCTGAGGCGCGCCAACTCCATCCCAGGCCACTCCCTTCATAAAACTGAGGTCTGACTTGTAGAGTTTCTATGTGTAAAACAACAAGCGTAAGGCAGTTTGAATTTTGTCATTATTATTTTTTTTATCCCGTTTATCATCTCAGCGTCTCACCTCACTCTGCAGGTTGTAAGCCTTTTTGGCCCACTTGACCTTCATGTCATCAGGCAGCACCGTGTATTCATGCAGCCTCTTCCTGTAGTCCTGATCGCTGGCCAGGGCCTGGGCGTTCTTAGCCGCCACCAGATGGACCATGTCCGGTGTGAGATGGTACTGCCCGCTGGCCGACAGAGCATCCCTGCGGTACTCCTGGTCGCTGGCCAGTCTGCCAGCCTGCAGGCAGTGCAGGAGGTAYGGGTCGTCTGTGACGCTTTTAACTCCAATGTGTTTCCCTTTGTCCAGCAGGTGGTTGTGTCTGTAATTGTACTGGAGAGACGCCGTTTACGTGACTTTCTGTTGAGTTATTTTGCAGTTTCATATATTAATATTTATATGTAAACTGGTAATTACATCACTGGCAATGCCTGTGGAGGTCTTGGCGGCCTGGAAGGGGATGTCCTGCATGGTGAGTTTGTAGCCCTGAGCTCTCAGGGTGTGCCAGGACTCTCTGTACTTTATCTGCAGAGCAAAACAAATATTCATCCTAAAATATCCCACAAGCATTTCAAAGCTTACAATAAGTGTAGCAGAGCGCAGCTTAAAGATGTGAAAGTACCTCGCTGAAGTTGGCAGCATTGATCTTGGCCTGTGTAATCTCTGGTCTCTCACTTGTAATTGTGTAGCTGTGCTGATCGTTTATTCCTTTTTCTTTGTACAAACGCTACAAAAGAAAAAATATATGTTTATTACGCTTTTTAACTGCAGAAATAAATACGGAAATGAGTCAGAAAGCTCTTTGACTCACTTCATTTGTGATCTGACCACTGAGTTTCGCGTGGACGATGTCGGGRGAGTCAGCAACAGCTGTGTGTCTGAACTGGTACGGCTGCTGTCTGTACTTTTTCTGTTGCGGGAGGAAACAACGCGCGTCTTGTCTTATTTCTAGATGCTTCGTGTCCAATAACAGCGACGAGTATGAAGCAGCCGTCTTACCTCACTGATGAGGTCCGTGGCCCTCTTGGATCCTTCAATCTGCAGAGCTCCGGTGGCGATCCAGGCGGCACCCCGCAGGTAATTCAGGTCAGAGCGGTACACTTTCTGCAGAACAAACAGTCAGCAGGGTTATAATGGTGTGAATGYCGATTCATGACTCACACTGTTGTTTTCCTGTTTTATGTATTTAGCAATCTAAATACGTCTGCATACCTTGAGCTGTTTTAGTCATATGTCCAAACGTTCAGCTCATTCAGGGGATGTGTGCCAGGTGGAGTTTAGAATTTTTAACTTTAATTCTTTGGCAAATTTCATTCAGCACTCAGCATTCACATTGCACTTTTGTAGAAAATGCTATATATTTATTAAGCACTTAGGTCACATCAGGCATAATTTAGCAGAGAAAAAAAAGTGTTAATTATGTGCGGTGCATTTAAGAAGCCAGAGGTTTCTGCAGTGCCTCTCACCTCACTCTGCAGGGCGTAYGCCTTTTTGGCAGCCTGCAGCTTCATGTCATCAGGCAGCGAGGTGTAGTGATGCAGGGACAGCCTGTAGTCGTGRTCACTGACCAGTGACTGGGCCTTCTTAGCATGAACAACATCCATCATGTCCATGGACAGGTGGAACTTGGAGAGCTCCTTAGCGGACTTCTGCTTGTAGTTGATCTAAAAGGATAACAGATTCCAGTAGAATGTTTGCAAATGCAGCATATTTTTTTTACAACTAAATTCCAGTTCAGAAACACTCACATCACTCTGTAACTTGTTGGCATAAACTGAGTGAGCAATGTTCAAGTCATCCTGCAGGGCCTTGAGTCCGATCATCTTCCCTTTGGTCTTCTCGAACACTTCCTTGTATTTGTGCTAAAAAAAATGTAACAGAAGGGAGATTGGTGCATAATGATAGAGAGAGCTTTGTTGTAAAGTTTAAAAAGGACTTAATGGACTCACATCACTGAGGATCTCTGCAGACGCTTTGGCGGACTGGAATGGAATAGCATCCAGGCGCAGCTTGTAACCTCCGTCACGTAACTTCGTCCACGATTCCTTGTAACGACTCTAAAAATGTTTCATTAGGACAACCGCAGGTAGAATCAGATTAATAGACTGATCCGGCTGTCTGATGGATCTGAGTAGTTGAAAACACAACTTTACCTCACTGATGTTCTGGGCGTTGATCTTGGCTTGCACCAGCTCAGGCAGCTCTTTGTTTATTGTGTAGTTATGCTTTATGTTTTCTCCTTTCTCTCTGTACAGCCTCTGCAGAACGGAAAACACAYGTTTACTGGACCCCAAACGTAGGTTTTTAAATCATGCACATGGTTTTGTATCAAATCGACTCACATCGATGGCCAGTTTGTTGCTGAGTTTGGCCTGAATCATCTCTGGCGTGTCGTCGATGCTGGTAAACCTCAGAGAGCTCACCTCCTGACGGTACTTTTTCTGCGGAAACAAATGTTTTGACATTTAAATGCCTGAACGTGTGATATGTATGGAGGACCAAATCTAACATAGTTAGAAATTAAAGCAGAAATATCTATATGGACCAATAAATAAATGAATACACTTAAAGTGCACCAATTAAATTAAAAAACGAGAACTTTACCTCCTGTTTTATCATTTAATTGACCATTATATGTATTTTTCCAGCTTTGATCTAATAAATAATATATTTTAGAACAAAATTTAAATGTTACTGTTTTTGAAAAAAAAAATTCTTTTACTTGTAGATGCATCTGTGTCTCTTAAATAATCATTTTAAGTTTTTTTAAATCTTGCTCACAAATCTTTTCATTTTCGTGTCATATTTGCATAATGAGGCTGAAATGCACATGGAAATGTAAATACAGGTGACAGAGAAATGTAAAAGCTACACATGAAAATAAATCTCGTGAGAAAAATTCTATTTAAATA